ACTTGAATACGTAAGGAGAATTTTCTTTGCCAGTGAAGATGTTAGAGGGAAGCGGTTACATGAGATTGCTATTCAGATGCTGACTAAGTTATCGGTTAAGGTTGGCCTTCAAGAAGTTAAAGACCAAATCATGCATTTCTTTTCTGGTGAGTGTCTGTCATTTAACTATCCTCATTCTGTTACCATTTGTTTGCTTAGAATGAAATGGGATATTTCAAAGTTTTATAATATGTAGGTCTGAGGTCTAAGCCTTCTGAGAATATTTTGAAGGGTGTATTGTTGCTATTACAGTATTACTTTAAGTTAAGGATGTGGAGTGTTCATGATATTCTAAAGAATCCTTTGGTTAAGAACATGAATTAAGCTGGAGCAGGGATATAGACAGAGAAAGGTTAATGGAGTGTTATGTATTTCTGAAAAATACTTTACACTGATTGTGACTCTACCTAGGGGTGAGTTGGGTGACCCCGCTTCGGAACCGAACTGCCGGTTCTCGGTTTCAAAATTTGGGGAACCAGAACTGCACAGTTCCCGTTCAAAAAACGGCGGTTCTGATTCTGTTTTCTAGTTCCAATTTTTATATTTTTTGTTTTGTAGATATTAAAGTTTATTTGTTTTTGAAAAATAGATTAATACTCCTCCGTCCCCCTATCTTCATCCCATTTTACTTTGCTTGTCTTTCCCTCTAAATTTGTCTCATACTATATTTGATAATATTTGGGGGGTTGTACTTTATTCACACTTCACCATTTCAATACAAACCACATAGTTTCACATTTCATAATTACCGTACCACCCCTCTTGTCCCACTCTTAGGGGCGGAGGAAATACTCCCTCTGTCCCATTTTATTTGCTATACTTTTCTTTTTGGGTTGTTCGGTTGTCCCAAAATTAGTGTCATATTTCCTTTTTGGAAAAAATATGTGTTGCACAATATTTCACTTTATTATGCTCAGGTCATAGCCACAACTTTTACTTTTTCAACCACTTGATTAATTATAGTGTCAAACCAAAACAAGACATACACAATAGGATGGAGGTAATAAAATCATTCAAATAAATAAGGATGTTTTTTGCTCGAACTTAATTCAGTTCCAGACCAAACATAAATAGATCACACCAGATCAGGCCAAACTTTAACAGTTATAAAATGACATGGACTAGACATTTACCAGACCGGATTAGAAAATTTATGTCCAATTAAAAACATTCCGAGTTCCCAAACAATTATTTGTATAACTAATTTTTATCTTTGTTATAAGTTATAACTAAGTTCAATAATAAGATATTTAATACTCCATATCTAAGTAGTTGTGAAGTAGGTTGTACAAGTTAATTTTTAAATATTTTAGTTACTAATAAATTATATTAACTCCGTTCTTTATTAATTGAAATAGTTTAACTTTTACGTTTGCCAACGCACAACATTGACTATAATTATATTTAATTATGTATTAATAAACATTATAAAAAGGTATTATAAGCTTATAACTAGTAATAATTAATGAGTAGTAACTATTATAATTGTTATTTCTATTATTAGTACAACAACTACTATTATGATCATATTATTATGATTAGTTTTATTAATATTATCATTAAATATTAAATAATTATGGAGTATTAAAAAAGGAGATTTCAAATCTGAACCGTCCAGTTCCAATTTTTGGGAGAACCGAACCGGCTAGTAAACCTCCGATTACAAATTAGAACTACTATGTGGATACGGTTACGTTTCCTATTACGGTTAAAAAACCAGCAGTTCTGATTCCGGTTCCGGAAACCGCGGACAGGTCTAACTCAGCCATTCTCTTTGAGTCATTCTCTTGGCAAATGTAGTTACATTTGCAGTTGCCCACCCCCACACTCCTTAACAAAAGAAAATAAGAAATTTGAAATGGTAACATATCCCATTTTGCTCCGAGTTGCAGCAATGACATTCTTTCTTTGATGGTGTAACACCTTGAAAACCGGTCTAGCTGAAATAGATTTGATTTGAGAATATTTTGAAATGGTTATATATTTATGTAACCATATATGAACAAGAAATACCCTTGACTCAACGGTAAAGAAAAGAAAGTGAAAAAGGTATGAGTTAGAGGTTTCGAATTCATATCTTGAAGGTATGAGTTAGAGGTAGACTTCCAAGACAAGTTCTACTCTCATTTTCCCTTCTAAATTTCTGATTTTTATGAGCATAATGTAGGGGGTTAAATTTTCAACCATTTTCCATTCCATAACCACTTTACTTCTTTATAAGTTAGGATCTCTTTAGTTTCTTTTCATTTTTCTCACATCTCTTGTCACGAGTTATTCCTGTTAGAGAGTCTGTATTAGATATTAGAGCTTGTAGCGTGTCCTCATGATTATAATTCATCTGTCCACCACTTCAAGATCTGCACAATTTTATATCGGTCAAACCTGTTGTTGTTTATTATGTATGTATTGGTGTATCTGTCTACAAAATTCCATTGATAATATAAATTATTTATACATTATATATGATGTTTAAATCTCATGTTTAATCCATGTACAATAGTTGAGTTAAATGTGTGATTAAAAGTAGGAATTGTGGCAACACTTGCATGATATGTTCAACTTCAATTTGAAATGTTTAATACCATATTTAAAGTAAGTTTCACCATTTTAGAATATGAAATTTCGTTCTTATAGCCTTTTGGAAGTAAGCATTTTATATCACTTTATACTATTTATTACGAAGTATATTATTATATTTGACTCAAGATATGACTTGAGCACACACTATTTATCATGTATATTTTTATGTTTATATCTGAAATTTTCTTGATAAATACTACATCCGTCCCACTAAGATTGGGACGAGAGAAGGTGACACGATTATTAAGAAAAGTAAGTTTGTGTGGTTGATATTAAATTGATAAAGTAAGAATAAAGTAAGAATGATTTAGAGCTACACAATCATCATTTCATTTTCATTTACCTACGGTGGGGTAAGGGGGGGGAGGGGGCGATGTAAGCAGTCTTGCCCCTGCACTAAAGCACAGAGAGACTGTTTCCGAATTCCGGATGACCCATAGTGAAAATGGCGTCCAAAATTGCATGGACTGACTACTGCTTCATAACAAAGAAGCGCAGATAGTTTAGAGCCACACAATCTTTACCAAATTTTGTATGGGACAATCTTAGTGGGACTTCCCGAAAAGGTAAAATGGGACAATCTTAGCGAGACGGAGGGAGTATATTTTAACTTTTATATTATATGATGCTAAAATTACATGTCAAATTCATGTTTAATCTAATCTTTTGATTTTGAATCCTATTCATTGACTTGTGGTCGCGTTTGATTTACATTTTCGGATATTATCCATTGCTAAACTTGCCTATTTGTCACTTCACTCACTTGAGCATTGCAATGATTCAAATGAAATAAATCATACTCTATTATTACTTTGTTAAATCAAATTATTAGTTATGTCTTGTCTTCAAAACCCATTAATGTCCAACCGATTCGAGTTGGATCAGGTTGGCTAACTAAAACTTCTGTTTCAGATTGGGTGAGCGTCACAATTTGGGATCAAAGCTCTAGGTTTTTTTAACAGGAAATTATTTTGGAATATGATTTTTCAAAAAATGTTTTTGATTGTGAATTGTATTGCATGAAGAAGTTTCTATCTTGATCTCACTATATTTGGTAAGTTCTCATAGAGTAAGATATACTACGCATGTTTTTATGTTCGGATTGGGTGGGTGCTACAGGTAGTTTCTTGAAATCCTTCTGCAGTTTGTTATTAAGTTTCATTTGGATAATTTTCATTGAATTGCAGAAACAGAATCAACAAGGTCTGTAAATGTGCCTACCCTCCCAAGAAAGGAGTTGGAAACTACAAACCGCAAGGTGAATAATAATAGAACAGTTGAATCTAGTTATAGACATACGTGGTCGGAAAGTCATGTTTCAGAAAAACGCCCTCAGTTGGATAAGTTGGCAGATTTACAGTCTAAATACGAGTCTCATCAAAGGGAGAAAGCAGCTATGAACTCAGATTTGAACATGAGTAAAGTGATTCCAAAAGAGCCAGTTTTTGATGAGCTGGATAGCATTGTGAAAATCAAGCAGGCGGAGACCCAAATGTTTCAAGTGCGTGCTGATGATGTGAGAAGAGAATCTGAAGCATTGAAACGAATAGCAGTTACAAAGAGAGAAAGGGTTGAAGAAGAATTCGGCTGCCGGATCACAAAGCTGCGTTTGGCTGAGGCGGAGGAAATGCGGAAACAAAAGTGGGATGAGCTCCAAACATTAGAAAGATCATATCACGACTATTTCAACATGAAGATGAGGATGGAATCAGACATCAAAGATCTCTTATTGAAAATGGAAGCTACTAGAAGGAATCTCTCGATGTGACTATTGTTTGTTAGTAGTTTGTACTTTAGCTTTCTTTTATTTATTCATTATGCTGACCAGAATTTGTACAGACGGAGCATGTGACTCGTGATACACTATTATGTAATTCAAATTAGTGGTGGACTCGGTTCGGGCCGGGCCCGGTTCGGGTCTAGAACCGGCCGGGCCTCAGTTCTAGGAAGGCAGGCCCGGAACCGGCCCGGATAACCCCGGGTCCGGTTCGGTTCGGGTCACCCGCCCGGCGGGCCGGGCCGGGCCTATTTAATTTTTTTTTAAATATTATATAATTAGAATAATTCTTATTACAATTACAATATATTATATTTGAATTGAAGTATATTTATTTCAAATAAGAAGTACAATTGAGAATTAGGATGAATTTAAAAAATGTAATACATTTTGTAATAAAAAATCAATCGGACTCTCCGCCTTCGGTTGTTTCCTCCATAAAGTGGCGGGAGAGAGTGATGGTAATTTCTTGAGTTCTTCGTTGCGCCTTCAACCAATCGTGAAAGCAAACTAGTGTCTCAAGAGAGCTCGGGCTCAATCTCGTTCTATAATCGGTTAGGACCTTGCCAGCCGCACTGAATTCTTGTTCCACGGCAACGGTTGATATCGGCATTGCTAGTACTTGCTTAGCCATATTTGATAAAATCGGGAATGTTCTTTCATTTTCCTTACACCACTTAAGAACGTCAAAGTCATCACCAACTTCATAATCAACATTCAATGTTAGATACAAAGAAAGCTCGTTACCTGAGCTTTGTTCAGTAGCGGGAGTTGCTCTACTTTTTTTCAAAAGAGAACCAAAAGCGGATTTTAAAAGTGATTTTTCTTTAGATGAAGAAGATGTTCGTTGCATGGGAGGGGGTGCATTACCATATTGTGCATGAAATTCATTATACAATTGATGAAATAAATTACTAACCTCGTTGAATTCTTGTTTAGGGTCGATGGGATTATCATCGAACTCTTGAGTTGGAAAAAAAAGAAGCATAATAGTAATCTATACAATTTGCCAAGTAAGGAAGTTTATAACGAGGATCAAGAACAAATGCAATACCATATATATGCGGAATATGTGAATAATATTTTAAAAACTTTTGTTTCATGAAATCACAAAAATAACTAACGTAAGTGGCGTCGGAAAATTCACAAAAAGCGCCGGCGAGATTAACAGCTTCAACAAAAAATTCGTTTGCGGTAGGTTTATAAACATGACTAAAAGTTAGAGTTGCGTTATTAAAATATGCCAAAACATTAACAATTTTTTCACAAGTGTCGATGTCAGCCGGGTTTATAATATAGTTACAAGTTTGTCTTAAAAAAGCTGGAAAATGATCTTTATATATAACAAGTACTTGAATTAAATTATAAGTACTATTCCAACGAATAGACAAATCTTTAGGAAAAGCACAATAATTCACACGTCTATCCTTCAAATATTGCCGCCATTGCATTTTTAGTGGAGTGTTAGCCCAAATCAATTTAATTCCCCCCTTCACTACCTCCAAAGCATTTCCTAATGCCGCTAAGCCATCTTGTACACACAAATTTAGAATATGACATGCACAACGTTGATGAAAAAATCTACCCATCAATGTAGAAGCACCACACAATTCACGTAATCTAGGTATAGCAGCAGTATTATTACTAGCATTATCAAAACCTACATCAAACACCTTATCAATCAAATTATACTCAATTAAAATATGTTCAATGAGAATATAAATATTATCAGCAGTGTGACGATCATTGAATTCACGAAAAGCAAGAACACGTTTATGCATATTCCAATCATCATCAATATAATGTGCAGTTAGACCCAAATAATATAAATGATGATAAGTATCCTCCCATATATCGCTACAAATACTAACACGTCCATCAAAGTTTGCGAAAAATATTTGTAATTTTTCTTTTTCCAAGTTATATTGCCTTATAACTTCTTTTTTAATCGTTTTGCGACTATAATTTCTAAATTGAGGATTTAAAGTACCTTGAGCATAATCTCTTAAAGCAAGACTTTCGGAAAAAATAAAGGGTAAATTTTCTTCAACAATTAAATGAGACATACCAGTCAAATGTTTTTTATCATCATAGGAAAAATTACCAAAGGGTTGAGAATTTGCAAACCTTGATATTTGTGTTTGCTTCCCCTTTCCTTTCTCTATTTTCGCATACTCCACAAAGTGGGCGGACTGAAGATGTCTTTTGAGACTCCCGTATCCGCCAGAAGTTCCCAAGCTAAACTCTTTCTTGCAATGATTGCAACTTGCGTACCATTTTTCGGTTTTTTCGTCTTTCCTTTTTGTATAATTGTTTTCAATAATAGGAGATTTAGATTTCTTACCAATTTGGGTTGTAGTCGTTGAAGGACCCTCGTCCTCTTGCTCATCATCCGGAGTCCCGTCGCCCCCCGCGTCCTCCTCCCCATCGTCATCCTCGAGCTCCTCTTCATCGATGGTTGTCGGGAATTGTTGTTCTTGTGCAAAACGTGGATCATTTTGGGACAATAGGTGTTGTAGTTCCTCGTCGGACATCATCATACCATCTCGCCGTTGGTAATCCGTTTCAAAATCATCTCGACTTTGAAAAGAAGACTCGGCCCGCGCTTTACCTTTGCCTTTGCGTGAAGTAGATCGAGTCGATGCAATCTCCCTCTTGCGGTTGCGTTGGAGATTACCCACATCTACAGAATGTCTACCATGTTCCATCTTTAAAATTGAACAAATATTAGCAATTAACTAATATGAGAAATGTAAAAATTAACTAGTTTTGTTATTTTAATGAGATATGTAGCAATTAACTAATATGAGAAATGTAAAAATGTAGCAATTAACTAATTAACTAATATGAGAAATGTAAAAATTAACTAGTTTTTTTTTTTACTTTAATGAGATATGTAGCAATTAACTAATATGAGAAATGTAAAATTGTAGCAATTAACTAATTAACTAATATGAGAAATGTAAAAATGTAGCAATTAACTAATTAACTAATATGAGAAATGTACAAATGTAGCAATTGACTAATATGAGAAATGTAAAAATGTAGCAATTAACTAATATGAGAAATGTAAAAATGTAGCAATTAACTAATATGAGAAATGTAAAAATGTAGCAATTAACTAATTAACTAATATGAGAAATGTAACAAATGTAGCAATTAACTAATTAACTAATATGAGAAATGTACAAATGTAGCAATTAACTAATATGAGAAATGTAAAAATGTAGCAATTAACTAATTAACTAATATGAGAAATGTAAAAATGTAGCAATTAACTAATATGAGAAATGTAAAAATGTAGCAATTAACTAATTAACTAATATGAGAAATGTAACAATTAAGTAGTTTAACTAATATTAATATGACAAATGAAACAATTAACTTTAACTACTTTAACTAATATTAATATGACAAATGAAACAATTAAGTAATTAAATAGATAAACGAGAAGTGTATATATAAATTAAGTAATTTATATATATATAGTATATATAAATATATAATGTGTAAATATATTATAAGTAATATATAATATAATGTATAACTATATATAGTATATATAAATATATAATGTGTAAATATATTATAAGTAATATATAATATAATGTATAACAATATATAGTATATAACATAATGCGTAAAGAATTATAATATGAATGTGTATAAGTATATATTTATAAGTAGATAATTAATATTATAATATATAAGTAGATATAATAATTGTATAAATTATATATATGTAGAGAGAATTTGGAGAAGATGAAGAATGAAGATGATTGAATATGAGAGATTGAGAGAATAGAGAATTTAGAGAGTAGGAAGCGTTGTAGAAGAAGGGGTGTAAAAAATGTATAGAAAATAGGAGTATAAATAGGTTTTTTTTTGTATACCCCACCCCCACCCCCACCCCACCCCCCCTAACCCCCCAGACCCCCCTCCTATGCTCCCAACGGCTATAGAGCCGTTTGGGAGGCCTCCCAACGGCTAGTAGAGCCTTCAAATATTTTAAAAAAAAAAAATTAATGGTGACCGTTGAGGCCCGGGCCGGTTCACCAGAATATCAGCCCGGGCCCGAACCGCTACATGACCGGGCCGGGTGGCCCGAACCGTGACCTAACCGACAAACCGGGCCGGTCCGGGGCCGCACAGTAGCGGGCCGGTCCGGTTCCGGGCCGGTTGGCCCGGCCCGAGTCCACTCCTACTTTGAAGATCTGATTTGATATGTTGTGTGGATCAAGAAGATATGAGAGTACACATCATTTAATGTGATTCCTTTTAAAAAAGATTTACCCTTCGAATGAACTTAGTCCTCAAAAGAGCTTGTTATTTTGGCATTAAATGAACAAAAAGTTTTGAAAATAGACAAAGCAACAATATTAAAAACATATGTTGCCGAGAAACACGCTGTTAAAGCAACAAACTATAATGCATTTATTGAGCTCAGTTGTTGACCCTGTGCCTGACAAGAATTCACCAGCCTGACCCAAAAATTTTGGGTGGGAATGCAGACAGCTTTTCCACAACAATTTGTATATAGTAAGATTATACTATCATAGTAAATATAATAGAATTTATTAAATAATATTAAAAACAGTTCGATCCGGATACCCATTTTTTCAAATTTTAAGACTTGTTCAGTTTTAAACCACACCCCTCCCCTCTAATCATTTGAGTTTTCCAAAACCAAGACGCAACCCAACCCGTTCCGCGGTTCATGAACCCGTTTGCCGACACCTACTTACAACCATATATAATTAAAATTTGCACGGAAAATTTCTCAAAAAGGTTATGGAAGTCTAAATTAAAACTAGGGAAAATGAAAACAATTAATCCAACTTTTAGCGATTTTCTTACCATAATCTCACATTTTCATTATTCAGAAATAATCCAACCTTTGCACCTGATCTTCATTCAATGGTCCCTGATCGGTTGATGATCTGTTATTCCAAGTTATTTTCTTATCTTTGTAATATATTATACCATAAATCCCACCTTATGGTCACATAATGTTTTGCAAAGATAAAAAATAACTTGAAATAACAGATCATCGGTCGATCAGGAAACATTGAATGAAGGTGAGGTGCAAAGGTTGAATTATTCTTGAATAATGAAAATGTGGGATTATTGTAAAAAGACCACTAAAAGGTTGGATTATTAGTTTCCATTTTCCCTTAAAACTAAAATATTTATATTTCCTTACTATCAAGCACAGAAAATATTGTCATTTTTAAAATATGATAATGCCAAAATATAATAGTAATTGGTCTTAATTTAAGACCTAAAAACATGATAGTTATATTTTGAAATTCATTTGATATTAAATAAAGTTTTCAATTACATTCAACTATTAGCTGATATTCTTTTATATATTAACACATGGGACCATTCGGTACCATGTCATTTCAGAACGGTACCCAATGGTTCAATACAATGTCAAACATATCCTAAAACATTTGAACAAAGTGCATACCGAATACTTGGAATGATTCAAGAGGTTGAAATTTTTGTATTTAAATTCTTATATACTCAAAGTCTCAAATAGTGCAACACAATTTAAGAAAAATATAGCAAAGTGATGATACACCAAATGCATATCAATGATATCATCTTTATTGTATCCATGTGTAAATATATAAAAGAGTATAGTTAATTGTTGTATCATAAGGTTTTGAACAGCCTTCTAAATTTGCATGTTCAGATTTGCATCGCACCATAACCATCATTAATTCTACATGAAGTTCATCTAAATAGAAAGCGGCACTGAGATATTATTTCCAATTTTTCAAAACAAAATCATTTCATAAGCCGGAATTAAGTTCACTTGCGTATGGAAATTTCTAGTAATCTAATCATAATCTTTCTTTGCAACTTTTGTGTTGAAATATCAAAAGGGGAAAAAATGCTGAGGAAGTCAATCGACAAAACAATAAATAAATTTCAAGACCGGACAAGAATAGTAACATAAACAAAAACGAAAAGGGAACCTGATATAGTGATATCCCTCAGAATGCCTAGTATCAACCTGGTAAGAAGCCATGTGTTCCTCGACCTCCCATAACCACAAAAGAGGGAGCACCACATATTTAGATTACTAAATCTTTCATCACAAGGATACACAAATCACGACGTGAAAGCAAATAAAGAAAAACTAAAACAAGCAGCAAAAACTCAATAAAATGTCAACTTGATATACCTCTTGTAATAAAATGATTAAAGATAAGAAAATCTTTTTCCCACAACGATATATACCAAACAAAATATAAAAGTTAGAAGACAAAACCATAGGTGGATACAATTCAAGATGACAAAATGGAATCAACTTTTGAATCTCATGGAAAAGATGATTGGTTTCAGATCTTGTGTTGAACCGATACATCTGTAGTCGAGCCATACAAAAAGTGCACATTTGCTGGTAATATCTTTCACATTTTCAACTAAACAATGTGTATGGTAATTGTAGCCTTCCTTCACAAAGTAAAATTGGTGAAAGAAGGGGACAAAGAATCACCCCAATGCTGTAGGACACCATGATCAAACAAATACAGAGTAACTATTTGTTTGAGAATTAGTGTCCAAGAAATTACATTACAAAATCAAGAAAGATGAGTCCACACTTACATTAGGGGAAAAATAGATCCATTTCCACTTTGATCACATCTACCATCAAGAAAATCTGTTTTTGGGCCAAAAAAATGCTATACAAGCATTACCCTTTGCTTACACACAAAAAACTAGCAACGGAATCAATTTAAGATTCAACTTAACACACTGGAGGTATAAGTAGGACTGCCGGAGATAATTTGAGAAAAACCGATTAAAATCTAACCTAACCACTGAAGAATTTCTTGTTGCGATCATCTGCATTGAGACCTTGAATGTGAACATCATATTGCCCGCATGAAGAGCATACTAATCATCCTCACTGCTACAGTAGTACAACTCTCTATGAACGCAAAAATCATGGAAACATAGAAGTCGAGAGTAAGACAAACTGCTTTGTGGGATCTGCCTTCTCTATCATAGATAGCTTGTCTGATAAAACTAAATGAAGTTATTTTTCTCTTCTAGTCAAAACTGAATCTCAGACCCGAACTATCTATCGAGCCGGATCGCGTGCTTTTGCAGTTTTGTACTTCAACCTCCTTTGAGCCAGTTCATGAAATAGTTCTAAACTCTTCTCCAAACTTTGCTCATTTTCATACTGTAACGCACACCAGCATTTTCAAGATTACAAAAGAACAGTAACATAAACAATGAAGAAAAGGGAACCTGATATCCCTCAGAATGCCTGATATCAACCTGGCAAGAAGCCATGGGTTCCTCGACCTCCCATAACCAGACAAGAGGGAGCACCACAAATTCAGATTACTAAACCTTTCATCATAAGGATATACACAAATAATGACATGAAAGCAAAAAATGAAAAAGAAACACCAAAAGGAACTGCAAAACTCCGTAAAATGTGAACATGATATCTCTCTTGTAATAAAAAGACTAAAGATAGGAAGATCTTTTTTTTCGAGCAACAATATATACGAAATAAAATAGAAAAGTTAGTAGAAGAATCAGGAGGTGGATAAAATCCAAGATAAAAACTGAAATCAAGTCTTGAATCTCATGGAAAAGATGAAATCAAGTGTTGAATAAAGTCTTGACGTAAACAAGGTGTATGGTCATCGTAGCCTTCCTTCACGAAGTAAAATTGATGAAAGAAGGGGACAAAGAATCACCACAATGCTGTAGGACACCATGATCAAACAAATACAGAGTAACTATTTGTTTGTGTAATTAGTGTCCAAGAAATTACATTACAACATTAAAAAGATAACTCCATGCTTACATTGGGGATTAAATTAGAGGTATTATTTATGCTTTGATCACATCTA